GCACAAGGCAGCCTAGAACTCCAGTGTGTGTTCGCTAAGTTGTTTCTATATGAAGCCAAGAATAATGCAGAGTTCTGAAGAACCAAAAGGATGGACTTATCTTAATGGCCCCTGCATGTAAGTGAAGAGCTAAAACAAAACTATAAGGAATCACCAGGCATAAAGGCCTCCACAGGCAAGACCTCTCCCTCGGCCTCTCCTAACTCTTCTAGCAGCTCTTCAGAGTATACAACATAATCTCTATTCTACAGATAGGAGATTGAGGCTTAGGGTAAGCACTAACTTGCTGGAGGTCACAACCCTTAGTGAGCACCATGGCCAGATTTTAGACCCAGGCATTCCTGCCTCCAAACCTAGCACTCATTCTCTCCCCTCATGCATGCTTAGTGCTACTGTTCTCTGAGATGGCTGTGTGCCCAGCATGACAGGAACACAATGGGGTGCCAGAGAAATCTCCATTGTAGCAGCTAGAGTCCTGCCCTGAAGGAGTACAATAAAGAGAAGAGCTGACACATCAATGAGGCTTGACTATGTGTGGATATGTGTGTATCTATGATCTCTGGTTTAGCTGACAGTCTGGACTGTGACAGGAAACTCAAGACCAGGCTCATGTGCCAGGCAGAGGCCAGCATCTCTGTACCTCTGCCCTCTCTCTACACTTTCCTTATGAAGGGAATTAAGGGACACAGGGGCCCTACACATCACACTCAGTGTCAAAAGTATGAAGGAAAACAATGAAGTTCCTAAACGTGTTAAAGGTTGGTAAACTGATCTGTAGATTAAGAAACTAAAACCATGTTCCAGGAGAATGGACAGACATAATCAGGTGCTGAAAGGTTGGGGAAGACTGAATAGCCCACGTCTTGTCATTCCCACCTCTAATCATAATACTCCTCCATGTAAGGCAGGTGGATGGGAAACAAGATGGCTAGGGATAAAGGAGGGCTGTGCTATATTTGCATAACTCCCCCACTCTCTGGAGTCCTTCATTTGAAAATGAAATAAATTCTTGAATGAGAAAAAAAAAAAAAAAAAGGGAAACATTTGGTCCGAGAGGTAAGAAGCCAGGAAAATGAGTGCCAAAATGACCTGGGAAAAGGAGGCCTTGGGCCAGAAGTAATGGCACAGGCCTGAGGAAGCTGAGGCTGGAAGATCACAAGTTGCCAGCCTTAGCAACTTAGAACAATTTTCTTTTTATTCTTTCTCTGTTTGTCTAGCTCTCTTTTGGTGGTAGTAGGGTGGGGTGGGCAAGAGAATATATTGCCCCTATTCATTCTATCTTATTCTATAACCAGATCCTCCTATTCCATTTGCACATAATCCAATCCCATGCCCCTTAAAAATAGAAAATAAAAAGGGCAGGCTGGGGCTGGGGCTCAGCGGTAGAGTGCTCGCCTCTCACGTTCGAGACCCTGGATTCGATCCTCAGCACCACATAAAAATAAATGAATAAAATAAAGGTATTGTGTCCAACTACAACTAAAAAATAAATAATTTTTTAAAAATACCTAGTATCCTACACACACACACACACACACACACACCCCTTGGGCTCTTGATAGAGGTTGCATGGGAAGAAGCTATCATGAAAAGAAGGGCAGAAACAAGGGACCAGGTATCTGGATTCTGCAGATATGCCTGGGATTGGATTATGTGCAAATGTCTCCCCAGAGAGGCACAGAAACCCAGCTTATAAAGTCAAAGAAAGGAGAAGAGATTAACACAATAATCAATGAGCAATGCCTGTGAAATCTAACTTTTAGTTAGCCATCTACAATTCCTTTGTAAATAAAGAAGGGTATACATAAAAACACACCATCTATCACTGGTCCCCATGAGTGCCAGGCCCTGGCATCCTGATGGCCCTGCAATAAGGTGGATGGTTGTCTTGAGAGAAACATCTTGTGCAGGAGTTGGGTAGAGGGCAGAGCTATTGCTCTGACAAAGGAGAGGAATTCTGGTTTACCCTAAGGAGGAAATGTCTTACCAGGAAGGCTGTCAGACAGGGCACAGAGTTTCTCTCCCTGGAAGTTTGCAGCAAGACTAAGCCGCCCTTGTCAGATCAGATGTTGTAAAAGCAGCTCTGCACTGCACAGGCAATTTCAATGTCCGCCACTCCACCCTCAGGCAAGCCCTTCCAGCTTAAGGGCTTCTGTAGCTTCCCCTCAAACGCAGAAATAATCGCCACTCTGTCTTCATCACAACAAAGCAGTGAGGGAATACTGACACAACAGCTTGGACTCTTCACATGACATCAACACTATACAAATACAATACTTCTTGTTACTTCAAGTGGTTGGAGGTGCTCACAAGCACTCACAGGATAGTAGAGACTCTAAGGTAGGAAAATGAGGACCCTTCTTACACAGCATGAACCCCAGAGACAGTTGAGAAAGCATCCGGGGCTAACCAAAGGATCACTGTGATCCCCTCTGCCTAAGCAAAGACTGGCACCAGGAATTTGCTGTGTGAAGCTGGTGAAAGGTGACATATCCTCCCACAAAGCAGGCTGGTGTCAAAGGGGCTATGCTCCAGACATCCAAAAAAGGAAGAACACCTCAGGGTCAGTGATCCAGGCACTCAGGCCTGCCCAGCCCTCAGGCCACTGGGAGGAGGCAGGGATTCCTACGGCAAGGAAGAATGCGAAAAGTGGGCAAAAAGAAAGAAATCTAATAAAGAAAGTAAGGCATAAATACTGGATTTTCAGTTATTATTACCAGTCCCCACTGAATGTGAGTCTCAGCTGTTACTCAGTAAGTAAGAAGCAAAGAAATTCCAGAAGACAAACTTCCTGGCCCAGACCACCATACTGACCCAGACCACCATTCTCTCTACCATCTCAAAATTCCCAGCACTATGTGCCACCTCTCCTTTCCACTATTTGTTGTCACTATTTCTTAACAGACTTGGCATAAGTAAACAGAGTTCAAGGAAGGTGTGGGCAAGAAGTGATAAGATTACTATGAACAGGTTTGCTTTAAGTGAGACAGTCTGCAGAAATACACATGGCTAAGAGATTCAGTCTGAAAAAACCTATCATTGTAAAGAGAAGACTAGGGATATGGCATAAGAAGGAAAGAACCAGCATTCACCCCAAGAAATAGAGCTCTATCTCCCAAACAGACACTTGGCCCTTGAGATTTAAACTTCTGTGGGAGACCAACCTTGACTGAGTTAACTCCCCTGCTGGGCGATGTGGCAGTCAGGCACCCATGCTGCTAGTCTGCCCAGCTCTTCTTGGCTCTTCCAAGTGACTGTGTCTTTGTGCCTGAGCATGTCTTCCTACAGCCCCATGGGTGGAGCTATGATCTCCTGTTCCTTTGTAATATTACCCCTTGCCCTGTTTAGGATAGAATGTTCCATGGAAGTGCCTTGTGTGTGTCCCCTTCTCTTACTGTGCCCTTGGGTGTGGCCTACCTAGATGTCAGTCAACCTGCTAACAGCAGACATCATGAAGCTGAACTCAGCCCCCTGAAACCTGACCCCTTGCCTCATTTGAATAGCTTCTCCTCAATAAAAGGGGTCAGCTTGTGTGTGTGTGTGTGTGTGTGTGTGTGTGTTCTCTCTCTCTCTCATCCTGTGGACCCTTAAGGTCAGAGGAGCCATCACAGGGACCTCAAAGAAAAAGGTATTTGTGTCTCTTGTGTGGTTATTTTGCGTAGCCCAGTCAACCCAGTTTTCCTGGAGTGACCCCTGAGCCTTTTAGTCACGAACAGAAACCCAGCAAACTTCCCTCTACCCCTCTTCAATTTTCTACCCCAAAAAGAGGTACTCGGTAGAAATAAATGGAGAACCATTATGGCAGTGCAGTAGCTGACATAATCGCTCAAATTTAAGTCCTTAATCCATTCACCTTTTCTACAATATGATGATACCAGGTATTAACAGCAGTAAGAGAGACAAATTCAGGGCAGGCTTTTAATTAAGGATGTCTTCTAAGGCTTTTGCCAGTAAGGTAATTTAATATAAGAAAGAACACCTAATTAGAGATTTTCTCACTGTAACGAACAGGTATGTCAAGGAACGCCAATGTTACTGTTTTATATGTCATGGCCTTGGTACTTGTCAAAATGTATCATTATTTCATTTCCTTCTGGTAAATCTTGTGAGGGACCTGTCATGATAGTTATCAACATTTTTCAAGTGAAGAAAACAACAGAAGTTGATCAATATATGTAGGGTTGAACATTGACTCAGAAAGTCAGAGCTAGAACACAAAACCTACTGATTCTCAAATTTAGGTAGGTGGTTTTCTATTTTTTCTATGAGGTTTCATGTCCCAAATTCCCTTATAGAGGAAGGAGGAAGAAACAATTTATCTTTCCTACCTCTGGCCCCTCCTCACTGTCCTATTTTGGGGGGAAGAGGTAACTGCAGATTTAACCCAGTGGAAATTTACCACTTAAATCCCCAGCCCTTTTTTTATTTGTTTTGAGACAGGGTCTCACTAAGTTGCTTAGGGCCAATAAATTGCTGAGGCTGGCCTTGAACTTGAGATCCTCCTACCAACCTCCCAAATGGCTGGGATTTCAGGCATACACCATTGCACCTAGTTGCCTTATTTAGTTAGCTCCCCAAAAAGAGCAGCCTGCCTCTGTCTAGGCAACACATTTCAGAGTCTTACCCCAAATGGACTTGAAATCCTATTTATTATCTCACTGGTGGAAAGACCTTTAAAGGTAATTTAATCCAATATCCCTTCAGAAGCCTGATTCTTTTCATGTTCTTGGCCTAACCGCATTGGACCTAACTTCACAATCCTAATTATTCACAATACTTTCTTTACCAGGTATCCCTCTGGTCTCAGAAAGGAAAGGATGGCTACAAGTTTGCAAATGGGGAAAGTAAAGGAGAGGTGAAGTTCATTAGGATAAGGATTCTCACCAGGGCACAGGTGGTGCCCTGACTCCTGAATGACTCCAATCCCCAGTGTTTTCCATTCAAACATTTCTGCACAGGAGCACCAAAACACTAAGTGGGATATGAGACAGGAACCTTACCTTTCTTTTCTCAGTTGCTCCCCTGGAGATCATGAAATGCCCATCCAACACTCCATTTTCAAAACCGAGAATCCAAATCAGATCCACCAAACAAAGTGCAGCTTTTTCCTCTTATCCAGGTCCAAAGTCCATGGCTGAATGGACTCTGAGGAGGAGGAGGAGTCTGGGGGGAAGGGGTGTGTCCAAGCCCCTCCCCCCCCCACTGCAGATTTCAATGTCCCTCCCAGGGGTCTGTTACATGCCTTCATTCAGCTGGTTTACTAAGCTCAGAGCCTAGTGATGGACAGACTCCAAGTATTATTGCATCTCTTGCTCAGGAAAGGAAAGTCATCCACCCTGAGGACTCCTCCGTCTGTCTTCTGCTGGAACTCATGAGAAGAAACAGGCCTTAAAACCCGCATGGCCCGGGCCGTTGATATCTGTATTAACCTGCAGAACATTTAAACATTAAGATGCTCTCTAATCTAGTCCATACTGGATAGATTCCTAAGACTTTCTAGTTCCCCCTCCATTTCTGAATTATATTCCATTAGTATATCATTAAAAACCCTTCCTTAAATACTCCACACAAGATTATAGAAGGCTTTTATTTTTGTTTTGTTTTGTTGTTTTTTGTGGTGCTAGGGATTGAACCAAGGCCTTGTGCATTCAGTGCTCCACCACTGAGTCAGATCCCTTAAGGTACTAAGAAATACCTTAATATCTACTTCATTCACGTACTGTACCCCAAAACAGTCACCTAATCAATATGGGCACATAGATGTGGCTCAGAATAAGAGTCATACCTATTCTCAGTACAAAAAAAGTAAGCAAAAGTACTGAATGGGGGAAACTGTCTTCTAAGGAATGCAGAAAAGAACGTCCTCCACTCATTTAAGGTACCACATATTAATCGGATCTCTCAAGCTTCTTAGGGTATTCAGTGTTTTAATCTGCCAGCTCTCTGCAACTGAACTAAATCCTTTCCATTCCGAGATGTAGGTACCTTCTACATGCACTCCTTGCTCTCTTTTCTTCAACCCTCACCTCCCCCTCTGCTTCCAAAATTCCCAATCTCCATCAAACTCTTTCACAGGGCCACTCCCGAAAGCACTCTCCTGGAATGTTTTAGGCCTGACTCCAAGCCCAAACCTTCCAAGAGCCCATCCTTTTTGCCCCCTCCTAAGTTTACTCCTAAACACACACACACACACACACACACACACACACTTCCTTCCTGTAGGGGCGTGGCATCCACATAACCTCCCCTCCCCCCACCAGGAATTTAACTCCTCCCACCCTTCTCTTCAGAATCCCGTGTTCAGTGTTCACGGGGCAAGGGGGTGACACTCTAACCCTCTCTATAGTCCGAACCCTATTGATCCGCCGCAAGGACGACCCTCTCTCTAGCGCGTAGAGTCGTTACCTGGATCCCGCCCACCCTGTGTCGGCCGGAAACCATGGCCCGCCCGGGGTCGAAGTCCGGGCCCTGGGCCTGGTCCCCACCGCGGGCCCAGGCCCCACCCCCTCGACCCCCGGCGGCCCGGCCCTCCCCTTGCGCTCCTTTCCCCCTCCCACCATCCACCGCAGCCACTTCCGCCCGTCCTCCGGAAGTGGGCCCAAGGCAACCGCTGCCTTCCCACGTCCCGCCTATTCTATCCCACCCCACCCCCGCCCATCACCACCGCCACTACGGGAGCGCGGGACGTGGGTCTGCAGTGCTGGAGGTTGTTCTACAGTCACTGTTCACAGGATTGAAGTCGAGGTTTGGGCAGAGCCAGATCTGGGTGAGAACGAAGCTGGGGCTCAGGGTAGCGGTCGTACAAGAGGGGGCAGGGCAGAGACTTTGGCCGAGAATAGGAGCGAGCGTCACGCCAAGCCGATCGAGACCAAAAACGCATGCGTCGCGGACCCTGTCGCGAGCGTTGACGCTCTGACTGCCTGGTGGGCGGGACTTCGGCGGGAAAGGGATGCGGCGGAGTGCACGGAAGTGGGGGCGGAGCTTCTGCTGTGTAACCCTGTCGCTATTCTTCCGTCCTAACTTTGCCTGGCAACGGCTTGCCTGACCTGGCTTCTAACCCCTTGTGCAGCTCGGCTTTCTGAATGCAGTCTGTCTTGGCGAGTTCTGTATTTACCTATTCCTGTGCTGAGAACTCTGTAGCAATACCAGAGGAGAGTTGTTTTGCTTATCGTTGTTTTTTTTCTCGCTGCATCTCTGCATTAGGCAGGATCTTCCTTGTCTAGAAAGAGAAAGGGTGTGAATATTTAACAAAAAAAGAAAAAGAGAAAAAGTAGGAAGCCCCCTTCTCATAGCCCTTCGCTGTACACTCACTGTGCTGAGCTCTTTACAAGTAGTGACTGAATACCCAGAGATCAGGACTCCAAATACCGTCACCAGAACGAGAGTTATGCCCAAGGTTGCAGGACAGATGCTGTGCTTGAACCTTACAGTCTGGATTGCTGACCTCCTATGTAACAACACTATACACAGTATTGCCATTATCAGGTGCCACCTGTTCCTTAAACATGTTCCTTCAAATACTGGATTTACAAGTTCCAAAGTCGCCCTGTTGCTTTTTTTTTTTTTTTTTTTCTTGATTTCAAGTTGAATCCATGGACAGCCACCAATAATTTTTGGAGCTTGTATGTTGTCAACAGCGTGCTCTAGAGTCTTGCCAAGATTGTGGATGTATTTGCAGCCTCTACTTTTTCCCACTTTTTGAAAACTGGAACAGAAGGTAGGCTCCCAGCTTCTGCATATTTTCTATCCATGTGATTTTTCTAGATCAGGAAGTTACTAACTTGAAAGTGTTCCACACTGGAAATTTAATAGTTGCTGGGCCAGGAGTGCTGAAATGAATTTTGTATTTGGAGAGATGTCATCATAATATTAAGAACATTATTTTTTAAAATATATACTGCTTACACTCAAGAATAACAAGTCCACAAATAAGTTTCTTTTCTACCCTCAACTCCAGACCTACTTAAGTCATCCATCTTTCCTGTCTGAATTAATGACAACTCTATTTACTCAAAACCCAAAAAAGTCATCCTCTTATTATCTCGCTTCCAGTCTGATTGGAAATTTTGTTGGATTTACCTTCAAATTATGTCTAGGACCCAACAGTATCTCCACAGCTACCTTCACCCTTCACCAAGACAACCAGGAGTCTTTGCCTTACCTCATAGCCAGGTTTCCACACAGCAGCCAGTGGTATCCTGGTATATCTCTGCTTAAAATCACAATAGGAGATCCCTATTTTGCTTGATATGTAGAGGCAAAGTTCTTACAATGTCTTATAGAGCTCATTTTCAATGGTTTTCTTACCTTTCTGACAGGCTTGCTCTCTTCTGAATTACTCTTGTCTCAACCACACTGCCCTCATTACAGTTCTTTGGGCCTACCTTTTTTTCTATCCTCTCTGTGAAGCTCTTCTAGATATTCATCATCAATCACAACCTCAACCCTCGATTTTTTTTCAAACTTTATCAGTGAGTCCTTCCCTAACCAACTTGTATAAATTTGCTCCTTTCCCACAACACTGATAGTTTCCCTTATGCAGTTCCTTTTTTTTTTTTTTTTTTTTAGCACTTTGGCCTCCTAACATACTCTAACTATTTATTGTTTGTCTCACCCTACTGGAATTTAAATTCCGTGAGGGGAAGCATATTTGATTCCCTGTTGTATATTGCTAATGATTTTAATCATCATACCATACTTCATGTTTCTATATTTTCATAAGTATATAAACATCATTTTTTTATCTTAACTGCACTTTTTACTTAGATTTTTGCATACCTGTTATACCAAGTCAAAATACATGGAGTTGTGTGAAGAAAACTTATCTCTTCTTTCTCCTCTAATTCCACCTTACTAAAGGGAATCACAGTTTTCAACTTATTGGATGTCCTTTAAAATATTGAGACATTCACACATACATACATAACTGGTAGCAGTTTTACAGTTCAAAGATAGGTATACTTGTATTGTGATTTTATTTTCTGTACCTCAGGTCAATTTATATTTGAGATCTCATTCCCTTTAATGCTAGAAAAACTAAATCTAGTTAATTCAAAAGAAATGTTAATACTTAATGATTTGTTTATTTACTGATTAGTGATCTGTTACAGTTTTACTTCAGTCAATTCAAATTTTACTAATGCCCTTTCTTTCCTTTTTACCTTCATATAATTGCTAGAGTTTTTTTAATTATAATAAATGAAATGTACATTCATTGAGGAAAATTAGTGAACCATAAACAAAATGGAAAAAATAGTAAACACAGCAACCAGAAATAAACAAGCCTTCCCATTTATTCTGTTCATATTTGTGCATATTTGGAATTATACTGCAACTGGCTTGTATAGCTTAATATATGTGGTGAACATTTTTCCATTTTGCATGCCATTTAATGACTCTGGTTTCTCATTATTACAGATGTAGCATAATTATTTCCCTTCTTTTTATACATTGGGGTTATTTCCAGCTTTTCACACTTATAAAATTAATTGTAGCTAAGTCTCTGTACACATCCTTAATTACATCTTGAAGATAAAGTTCTGGAACTAGTGTCAAAAGGTGTGATTATTGTTGAAAGCTCTTGATGCATGTTATCAAAAGATCTACAGAGAGGTGGCACTGCTTTGACACCAGCTTCTTTCCACATCCTGCCAGCACTGTTTTGTTGTTTTTTTTTTCTTTTTTGTCTTTTCTAATCAGATAGAAAAATGGTTTTGCAGTGTAGTTTTAAGAAAAATGGTTTTGCAGTGTAGTTTTAAATTTATTTTATTAATTACTAGTAAAGTGCAACTTTTTTATTTTTGAAGCATTTGAAAGTTGCTTACTCATATCTTTTACCCACTTGGGCTTATCTTTTTGTTGTTGTTGTTGTTGTTGATTTGCAAGAACTCTTTCTAGAATATCAACCTTTTGTTACCTGTGTTGCAGCTATTTTCCCAGTTTGTCATTTGCCTTTTGTTTATGTGCTCTGGATATTACCAGATAACACTAAGCCTGAAGTTTTTCTGCAAGCTTATGCTTGTAAGTACTCTAGTGTATCCTTTCCATGGTGCCCTCAATTCAGCACTCACCCAGAGAGCAGTTTTATATATTAGGCTGCACAAGCAGTAACATCATAAGTATTGGCTTGCTTAGTTTGCTTGTCTGACCAGCATTGCAGGAGCATCTGTCCTAAGGTACTTGCAATAAAGTAGCTTTCTACAGATAACATTAACTTATCTTGTTTCCAGTGTGCCTAAGAGAAAGCCTTTGTCCTTTAAGATAATATGTATCTAGACTTTCCATCCCAGAAATAGAAATGGGATGGAAAGTATAGATACATATTATATTAAAGGACAAAGGACAGTTCCCTTAATTTGCTGAGGTTTTGGGGAACAGAAAAGGAGCTTTCAGGGACATGGTGTTTTACTATCCCCCTTTGCTTTAGGGAAGATAAAAAAAAGTCAACACCAGCTAGGGCAGAAGTCTGACTATGCTCTGCCTTTAGGATAAACTCCTAAGAGTAAGCTAGAAATTTGTGTATTAGTTATTTCACCTGAAGGACCAGTTGGCAAAGTCTCAAAAGGCAGGATCTCCTAGGTTATCATTTAGATTGGGGTGGCCAAAAGGGATTGAATATCTGCAGAACATGGCTAAAGGACTGTTTATACCAAGTGGGTTCCTCCTTCCTGTGGATGCTTCATGTTTCTGTCAGAAGCAGTAGGAAAATGGCTCCCACCTTTCTTCTGCCTTCCAAAATTTAACTCAAGGACACCTAATAAGCTGAATCTAATTGCAAAGGAACCAGATTTCCTACCTCTCCAACTAGAAAGAAGTTAATCAGAGACTAAGAGGCTCATCCAAATGGCCCACCAATTTAATGTATTGGGGACTTTCCATTTCAGTTTGTTATCTGTTCTGATACCTATTTCTGTCTGTGTAGCTAATAGTAAGCACTAAGAGCCTTTCTTCATTGACCTTTTCATTTTTTAAATATTTTCTTGAATATTTTCACACATATTTTTTTCAGACATGCGATTTTCAGATAGTATTGGTTTAGAGAAACTAGGTACTCTTGTAGTTTCCTGGGCTTCTCCTTAACCTGGGTAGTATTCTTTGTACAGGTTTAAGTCTGAACTCTGTAAGTACAGAAGTCAGCATGTACATTTGCTATTTGTTCTTTTATTCTGGAATATCTTTAAAATTTGGACCCATAAGGAAACACCACACTCATTTCATCTCTTCATCCTATTGTGCCTCTTTGCAAC